CAGGGGGGACCGCCTGGGAGCCTGGGGACCCCCAGGAGCCCTTCCCGGGACCCCTCCGGGACCACCCCCCCCAGGTCTTTCCTGGGACCCCCGCCCCCCCAGCGGGAAGGGACACAGGGAAGGGCTTCCATTCGAAGTACTTGCGATATTGTTCGGTCTCCTTTGCTTGTTCGATCTCCCCTACCACGAAGACGATTCAAAGAAAGCAGGCGTACTTCTGTGTGGGTTGGGCTGTCCTCGCGTCGACGGGCCTCTCATGCACGCCGACGGTCGGCGGATTTTGTTTTGGTCTTCCGTCCAACGCGCAGTTCAGCTACGAGCAGTGCTGCGCGGCCCGGTTTCGCCCCACAGAGCGCTGCCGCCGCGCCCTTCGCCCAGAGGACCGCCTCTGGCACTGCCGCGTGCCGCCGCACGAGGAGATCGAGAGGTGCCTGCGGCCGCCGGGGTCTCTGGCAAAGGACGCCGGCGCGCAGGGGAAGATTCTGCTTCTCAAGGGCAGGGACCTCAAGTACGAGGACTACCTCGGCGTTCAGCTCGAAGAAGAAATAACGGCATAAGCAGATTCTCTCGGAGCTCCGCGCGGATCTCTCGGATCGGCCCACAGCCCCCCCCTGGCGGCGCCCCCGGCGTCGCCCGTGGCACGTTCTGCGCGCCAGGGGTGGAGGGCCCAGCTCGGCTCCAAGAAAGATCTGCGCGGAGCTCCGAAAGTTCTTGCTCATGCCTTTTTTCTTCCTCCGCCAGCTCCAGAAGGCACGCGCCGAGATAGATGAGTCTTTCGTCACCGATGGCACCCTGGAGGTCGCGGGCTTGTACCTCGGGCGCCACTTCGCGGTCGGGGAGCCCATCCGCCAGGTGCCAGCATCTTCCAGCCGGTGCCCATCCTCACCGGGCACTGGTGGCTCAGCCCCACGCGCGTCCGCGCCCTCGTTTCCGATGCGTCGTGCCACGCCGGCAAGTCGCGCGTAAAGTCACCATGTCTCTTCGTGTATGTAAGACCCGTTTCTGTTCGTAGCCCAGGTGGTCCTAGGCCTTCGGGCTGTGGGTAGAAGTCCGATGCGGGAATTTATACATAAACACCGCCTGGATGATCGATTTCCGGAGACCTCGACAGGCGGCGGATCCGGATGTATTCGGGCCCCCCGTGGCTCGAATATATCCACATCCTCCGCCCGCTGGTGTTCCAGGACGCCGGTCTCCAAGGTGGTGGAACAGGACAAAAGTCCCGCCTCGCAGGAGTCGGCCAGTGGGGCTGAGGCTCTTTGCTCGGCGGCGAGCCGGGCGGGGAAGGGAGAAGGGGTGGGCCTTCTCAGAAGGCTCAGAAGTCCCCTGGCCTTTTGAGACGTCTCCCGAACCTTCCCCGAAGACGCAGAAAACTTCTCCGAAGGCGCGAGGGCTGCTGAGAAGTCCCGCCGCCTTCTGAGAAGGCCTCCTCCTTCTCATCTTCCCCCCCCCCCCTCGCCGCTGACAGTCCTCAAGGTGCGCGGGCTCTGCCACGGCGCCAAGACGGGCAAGGAGGTCCGCGGGCTGCGGGCGAGCCTCTCCCGCAACCGCGCTCCCTCGTCGCCGGGCGCGGGGGCCGGGCCTTTCGTGCTCGGCACCGACCTCACGCCCGAGGCCGCGGCGGCATCCGGGGGCGACGTGATCGAGTGGGACTTCCACTTCTTCGGTAGCAAATCATGGAGCCTTGTGTACCCTCGTAAGCCCGTCTTTCGCATCGATTAGCGTCGATTAGCGTCTGCGAGTCGATGAGATAGCGCCGATTTAGCGTCGGTTAGCGTCGATTGGCGTCGATTTAGCGTCGATTAGCGTCGATTAGCATCGATCTAGCCTCGACTAGCGTGGATTCGCAAGAGCCGGCAAGATGGTATCGGAGGCTCCCATGAGTTGCCACTGAATACTTCCTGCAGCCCGACTGGATCGAGGCCTGGGACTTTATCGAAGATACCTTCGGCGAATCACCGCCGCCCCTTGCCTCGCAGGGTACGCCTATGTGGCCAAACGCTTGGGCAAATTTTGACCACGCTGTCGGACCATGTGTTTTCCCAGCCGTGGTGGAAGCCCTTCGGAGAACACGTGGGGGCGGAAGAGGAGGAGGAGGAGTGGGAGGAACAAGGAGGACGAGGAGAAGGATGAGGAGACCACTTGGGAGCTTCTGGGGTCATTCTTGGGCGCCTCTTGGGCGCCTCTTGGACCTCCCGGGAGCTTCCTGGGCGCCTCTTGGAGGCCTCTTGGAGGCCTTGTTGGGAGTCTCTTTAGCCCTTGGGAGCCGTTTGGGGGCCTCTCGGGGGCCTCTTTGGCCATCTTGCGGCGTTCCTGGGGGCCGTCATGGGAGCCTCCCTGGGCCGTCTTGGGGCCCTCTTGGGGCGCTTCAGGGTGGTTTTGACGGCTATATTGAGTGTCTTGAATGCCTCTTGGGCCGTCCTGGGGCCAATTTGGAGGCCTCTTGGGCGATCTAGGGGCAATCTTTGGGGCTTCTTGTGCCGTTTTGGGTCGTCGGAGCGCCGTTTCTGAGCAAATGCCAGAATCCTTGAAAAACCTAAGGATCATCATCAATGATGGAGGCCTCTTGGGCCGTCTTAGGGGCTTCTTGGGCGCTTCTTGGGCTGTCTTGGGCTCTCTTGGGCCTTCTTGGACCATGTTGGCGGTCTTGGACGCATCTTGGATGCCATCTGGGGCCATCTTGGCCGTCTTGGAGGCGATTCGGTCAATGGGCTCTGGATTTTTGACGGCTTGCCGGGTGGCCGGCGGGCTGGGCCGAGACCCCGCAGGGAGTTCTTTAGCAAAGAACCAAACATTTGTCAGACATGTGGCACACCGTGCACTCCTGTGGCCAGAACACAGGGGGCGGCGGATCGAAGACGCCTACGGCGAATCACCGCCGCCCCCTGGCCTGCGTGGCCGAAAGTTTGGCTTGAGCTTGGCGAAGCTATCGGGCCACGCGTTCCCTGAGTGGGTTTCGAAAACTTTCGGGGAACACGGAGTCGGGCGATCTATCGGACCAGGTGGTCTCCGAGCTTTCGGGTTTCCTGGAGGACGTCTTGGAGGTCTCTTGGGCCGTCTTCGAGGTCTCTTGCGGGCCGTTTGGGCCGTCTTAGGCCATCTGGAGGCCATCTGGGGCCGTCTTGGGTGCATCTTGGGGCCATCTTGGCCGTCTTGGAGGCCATCTTGGCCGTCTTGGAGGCATCTTGAAGGTCATCTTGGCCGTCTGGAGGCCATTTTGACCCTTGCCTTTCGGGCCTTCCTGGAGGACGTCTTGGAGACTCCTGGGCCGTCTTAGGCCATCTTGAGGCCATCTTGGGCAGTCTTGGGTGCATCTTGGGGCGGGCCCTGGGGCCCTTCAATTGGCCAGATTCACTAAACCAGGTTTGCCGTAACTGGTGTTTTTCGGGTGACGGCAGTTCCGGTTAGTGGAAATGGGACGGGGGGGCGCCCCCAGTACAAATCACTAAACCAGGTTCCACTAAACCCAGTTCTGCAAACGCCCGACATGGGGCCCTCTTGGGGGCCTCTTGGGCGATCTTGGGGGCCTCTTGGGCCGTCTTGAGCCGTCGGAATGCCGAGAAGAAGCAAATGCCCAAATCCTTCCAAACACCTAAGGAAAATCAATGATTTTGGCCTCTTCGGGCCCTCCTGGAGGACCTCTTGGAGGCCTCTTGGGTCGTCTTGGGCCGTCTTGGAGGCTTCTTGGGCGACCTTGGAGGTATCTTGGACTCTCTTGGGCCGTCTTGGAGGCCGTCTTGGACCATCTTGGGCGGACTTGGAGGCCATCTTGGACCATCTTGGAGGCCGTCTTGGACCAACGTGGCCATCTTAGAGGCCATCTTGAACCATCTTGGAGGATTTTTTTCCGGATTGAGCTCCTTGAGATCCTTTCCGGGTGGCCAGCGGGACGGGCCGAAGCCCCAGGGGGAGTTCTTTTGGAATTATGCTATCGGAGTTCCCCACATAAAGATATTAACGGTTTCGTGGGACCCATGGGGTACGACAACATCAACACGCAGGAGAAGTTCATCGAACGAGTAAGTACGCACGAAAGTGCAGACGAAAGAAAGGAGGAGGGAGGACAGGGGCTCAGGAAACGAAGCCTTGTAAATAGTAAGGTCTCTTCATACCCTCCTCGCTCTGGCGGGGCCCCGCTGGAAGGGGGGAGGGCTACGAAACCTGGTAGAGAGTAATGCTTTCCGCGACCCTCCTCGTTCAAGCGCGGCCTCTCTGGAGGAGTGGAGGGGGGGGCACGAAACCGTGTAAACTGCATTGTTTCCGATACCCTCCTGGAGGAGGAGGAGGAGGAGGAGGAGGAGGAGGAGGAGGAGGAGGAAGAGGATAAGATGGATGATGGTGAAGAGCAGCAGCAGTATCATCGTCATCATCATCAGTATGATGATCATCATCATCATCATCATCATCATCATCACCACCATCATCATCATCATCATCATCATCGTCAGCATCATCGGCATCATCATAACCATCATCATCATCATCAGCATCAGCATCATCATCATCGTCGCCGTCATCGTCATCATCATCATCATCGTCGTCGCCATCATCGTCATCATCATCATCATCATCGTCATCATCACCATCACCATCACCGTCCTTGGCATCATCATCGTCCGCATCATCGTGGACGTCATCATCATCATCAGCATCATCGTCGTCATCATCATCAACAGCACCAGCAACGTCAGCATCAGCAGCAGCATCGTCATCATCACCAGCATCTGCAGCATTATCCTCGTCGTCGTCGTCGTTGTCATCATCGTCATCGTCATCATCACCATCATCATCATCGTCATCATCATCAGCATCATCATCATAGTCGCCGTTATCGCCATCGTCACCGTCCATCACCATTATCGCCATCGTCATCGTCATCGTGAACAGCAGCATAACCATCGTCATCACCATCATCATGATGAAGCCTTCCTCATCGCAGAACTCCCCCTCCTCCTCACCCTCCTCAGTGGGAGGAGTAGGACGTGAGACGGATAGGTAATGTTCTCCCCTCCTCCTCACCCATGTCAGTGGGAGGGGCACGAACCCATTTAAATAGTGTAGGTTTCCGATACCCTCCTCGCTCAGATGGGGGCTCCCTGGAGGGGTGGGAGGGGCACGAAGCCATGTAAATAGCATGGGTTTCCGATACCGTCCTCGCTCAGGCGGGGCCTCCCTGGAGGGGTGGGAGGGGCACGAAACCATGGAAATAGTGTGGGTTTCCGATACCCTCCTCGCTCAGGCGGGGCCTCCTTGGAGAGGTGGGAAGGGCACGAAACCATGTAAATAGTATGGGTTTCCGATACCCTCCTCGCTCAGGCGGGGCCTCCCTGGAGGGATGGGAGGGGCACGCAGCCATGTAAATAGCATGGGTTTCCGATACCCTCCTCGCTCAGGCGGGGCCTCCCTGGAGGGGTGGGAGTAGCACGAAACCATGTACATAGCACGGGTTTCCGATACCCTCCTCGCTCAGACGGGGCCTCCCTGGAGGGGTGGGAGGGGCACGAAACCATGTAAATAGTATGGGTTTCCGATACCCTCCTCGCTCAGGCGGGGCCTCCCTGGAGGGGTGGGAGGGGCACGAAACCATGTAAATAGTATGGGTTTCCGATACCCTCCTCGCTCAGGCGGGGCCTCTCTGGAGGTGTGGGAGGAGCACGGGAGGCGGGAGGCGGGAGGGAGAAGGAGAGGATGTTCTGGGAAAACAAGAACCCCATTCAGGATGTGGGGAAAAAGAACCCAAACCAGAACCCATGTAATTTGGCACGCCAGGCACCCCTTCGATAAATCAAAAGGGGGCGGCGGATCGAAGACGCCTACGGCGAATCACCGCCGCCCCCTGCCTTTTTGGAAGCGCCGATGTGGCCGAACGTTGAGGCCAGACCTGCCAAGCTATCGGACCATGTGTTCCCCGACTCGGTTTGGAAAGCCTTCGGGGAACATGTGCGCATCTCGAAGGTCATCTTGGCCGCCTGGACGCCATTTGGACCCTTTCGGGCCTTCTTGGAGGACGTCTTGGAGGGCTCTTGGACCGTCTTGGAGGCTATCTTGAGCGTCTTGGAGACCTCTTGGGCCGTCTTGGGGGCCTCTTTGGGCCGTGTCTTGGGCCTCTTGGGCGATCTTTGGGGGCACTTGGGCCGTCTCGGGCCGTCGGAAGGCAGGAAAAAAGCAAATGCTACAAACACCAATGGGAAGTCAATGATTTTGGCCTTTTCGGGCCTTCCTGGAGGCCCTCTTGGAGGCCTCTTGGGCCGTCTTGAGCCACCTTAGGGCCATGTTCGGCCTTCTTGGCGGGCTTCTGGTCCATCTGACGCCGTCGGAAGCCGTTCAGGGGGCCTCTATGGGCCGACTTGGGGCCCTC